CGTGTATAATGAGCATGTTAGCGAATGGTTGAAGAAATAATACGAGTATAAATATCCAAACAAGTTTAACTGTTCGTTATTTGATTGATTATTTATTCTCCAAACAGATTATTTGTATTTAATACATGACGTATGTAGTAAACATTATGAGATAATGTGACGACATTTACATAAAAAACTGGGGTCTTAAACGTATGTTATATTATTTCCAAAGTAGTTATAAATGTTTAAAAAGCTAAATACATTCTTATCAATCGTCTGAATACATTAAAGCGATCTTAATCATAATCAAGACTTAAGTTTTGTTGGAATTGACTGCGTAAATTAGCATATTGGCGTCAAAGACCCAATGACATACATAAAACAGACGAATAGAAAATTTGAATAACACTGCTTTCGGTTTTTTGAAAAGTATATAACCCAAAACTGTATCACAGTACACAATGTCAAATCAAATTCAACCCTCGTTATTCCTGAATACAAAAATTACCAAATCCAACAGTCTATTATACACCAGTGTTCACACATTCAGGAACACTGTCCTCTTCTCAGGGCCGGTTCTAGGAATTTTTCAGAGTTAAGCGAACACCCAAATCAGCGCCACTTAGAATTCCCCCCCCCCCAAACCCATGAACATAACTTAACCGTATTTGTAAATTTTTTCCCAATAATTTTGGGAAGAATTTTTTTTTAAGTTTAGGTAGAAGAATACTAACTTGCAATAAAAGGCTGTTTATTATTCGCAGAAATGTGACATTTATACACTTTTACTCATCATATAAACTATAGCAAAACCAAGGACACACGAAAAAAAACAGGCCGTAATGTAATGCTCGTCAAGCATGACGTCACGATAGAAGACGGCAATGACGTAATGTTTGCCGTTAGTGATCAGCTGCTTGTTTTAATCTTTCCTTCGAAAATAAATAAATAAATACCTACGTCATTGCCGTCTTCTATCGTGACTTCTTTGGGCTGACTGGACTCGCCACCAGATGATTTCTACAAAAGTCTACTCATTGATTTGGCTTTTTTTTCTTCCTCTTCCAAATTCGCCTTACGCTTTCTATGATAAGTGCCAGACGGTTTCTTTTTTTCTGCCATTGTTTTCATAGTTTCGACTCGAATATGTTTTACTCATTAATTCAGTTTATACTTTCTTTTTATTTAATGCGCTAATTATAAATTAAACTTAATGCACTCGTAATAATTCGCTTATCAACAATCATGCATCATCAAAACAATGCCAATACGATACCGACACGGTATAGGCCTACGCACGATTACTAGAAAAATACCGGTATGGATCATAAACATAAACAAATGACGTTTTTGGACAGAAAATAAACATTATTTAAACATTGCTTAAATGGAACTGCCAAAACATATGTTCAATGCTATTAGTATAGGATTCGGGTCAATAGCGTAATTTGTTTATGTTTATGATCCATACTGGTATTTTTCTAGTAATCGTGGGCCTACGTATACAACTAAAAGAGTGCAATACAACGTAGTGCTCTGCTCTAGGATGAGAGGCAGAAAGGAGTTAGTGAAAGAAAGGGGAAGTTTCTCTTTGTGACAAGTGGCGCTGCGCGCTTGCTTATCTCGAGCATGAGTGATTCGTGAAATGAAACCCATATGTGCCGCGCTGGCGCTGACGCTGCCGAGCGTCAGCTCAGTTCAAATCGAACCTGCAAATGGCATTAAGTCCTTGAGTTGTTGTGCTGTACAAATATACACAATTTTCAAGTGCTGTCGGTACAAACAGAATAAATGCCTTGTGGTGCTTTGAATACTTGAACTCTGAGCAAAAATAAACAAAATTACGTTGTTCACGTAAAAAAAATGTTCCGTTGGCGCCACGGCGCCACTTCTTCGTGGTGCCATATGCGGCCGCGTAGTTCGCGTATGGGTTAAACCGGCCCTGCCTCTTCTAGACAACATCTACGAGGGAGCTAGGCCTAATGATAATAATGATGATAGCAATAACAACAACAATAGCCACCCCAAGCCAGGTTTTGATAGGCCTACTTCATAATACCGACTGCATGTAGGCAATGTACACGGTCCGTAACTGATATTGCTTCGATAGCACCTCCCGAAGCTGCGTGAATGCGTAAATGAGCTTACGTACTTTGTTTTTTACGTATTGAACATGCGGAGCCCAAGTTAATTTAATATCAATCACAACCTCTAAATACTTTACTTGCTTCACTTGCGCAGCCAGTTGCGAGTGCATCTCCTCAAATACGAGTGCAACTTCAAATACCTTGCTCCTGGTCCAAACTTATTTCTGAGAAGAACAGGTGTTATAATCAAACCAGTATTTTGATTTGTTGACATATATCGACGAGGAATCGAACAATTGGTCCCACGTACTGCCGGTGATCACAAAATCAGCGAAATATATCAATTTGCTCTTTAATTTAACTTACGAACCGTTGTTTATATAAATATAAAGTAATAGAGATCTAAGAGTACTGCCTTGAACTAAACAATATTCTACCGGTGTAACATCACTTACTACTCCATTTATTTAAACTACTAGTTCCCGAGACTAAAAATAGCTCGTAAACCATTTAAGATTTGGTCCTTCGGTACCTTTACCATCTAATTTACCTATTAGCTTGTGTCTATTTATTAAATCAAAAGATCGTTTATAGACATATGGGACTAGTAAAGTTAAACTAAGGAAAAACTTCTTCCTTTGATCAAGTAAATTTGAACACATTAGCTACCGGTACCAACTATACTCATTCCTCAGTTACATAGGAGTGTGACGGTCAGTAGGGAACATGTTAACATATTAGCTACCAACTACACTCATCCCTCAGTTACAGAGGAGTGTGACGGTCGACAGGGAACGTGTTAATGAAATATAAATATTGGTAATCGTGGTTAAATGGAGCCTGTCAAATGAAGAAAAGGTAAATTTTTACAGTTTTGACTTTACTAGAAAACTGTTTGAGATAGAAGCGAGTACATACTGAGTTATGATTTATGAGTTACGAGGCCTACATTTAAGATATTAAAGTTTATGTCCCATAATCACACGACCACCTTTATTATCATTAATGTAGTTTCAAGGACCGTAAACAATATATATTATGATTGAGCTTAGGCCTTGGTACACACCGAGCACCACATACGGGTGACCGGTCCACTGAGATGAGAGCGACAACCAACTGACCACGTCCCCACGACACAGCTGACGGCACTTGGTGACGTGACCGAGAGCGCACTGTCGTAGCCGTCTCTAGTGCACTGTCCATGTACAACACTGTTTGGTTTTGTTCAACGGGTTTTCTAGTTCATGTAGCCTACAGCCTACTGTATAACCATCTGTATGTACTAACTGGAAAACTTCAATCAACCAGACCTCACTCAATACTATGCTAAGAACTTCCACAGGAATACTGTTTAATGTTACTAACGATTGGTAGATATGTTTTAATAACTTAGGATATTTTCATGTTAAAAAAATCGTATACGTTGCAGATGTCTTGTATATAATCATAATCATTAACAAAATAACAAAATAACAATTAACAGGAATCTAATTAGTATCGTTATCCATTCTAACATGAAGCCGATGCACGTTCTTATAAAGATAAGAAAACTGAAATGATAATCAGAGTGACAACTGCGATATCAAATTGTGTAGCATGCACATACGCTAACTTTTACTTAAAGTGCTGTCGCATAAATAATACTGGTGGATTTATTCATGGAGCTGTAGATTCTCAACTTTTATAATTGTAACCATTGATTGTTGATTGTTGTACTGAATGTTTTATTGGCTATTGTATCCTGAATACCACAAATTATCTTACTGTTTTACATAAATTATTTGTCTATCAAAAACAATGTGCTATGCACAAAAGAAACTGCATTTTACTTATAAAAAAAAGTATCGGAAGTCCCAGCCCGCGCTATTGATATAGGCATTCTTCTCTCAAATATTTTGTTGGCAACTAAACAACTAACGTATAACAACTAGAAATACGAAAATAAATCAAATATATATCAATAAAAATATACCAATAATATTCAGTGTTTATATTTAAGACTATTGCTAAGAAACTAAATCAGCAATTGGTAACTGATACCGGTACACTAATCTTTGTCGTAATATTTAGTTTTCCAAAAGTTGGGCAATTTATTTCATTCACGTTGGCAGCAATGTGAGGACTTAATGTTCTGACAATCAATCTTATATTCGTTAAAATATATACCCAGCAAACGTAAAGTACTCGGACTCATGAGGACCTAACGTTCGCATCGTGTATCAGATATATCACGAGTACTTAACGTTCTCCTCGTGTATATATATATATATACATATATATTTATATATGTGTCCGTTAGCGCGATAACTCGAGCAAAATTCATCCGATTTTGATGAAATTTGGTACAAACGTGTAAACCTACATTTATTCAAACGAGTTTGCGAACCAGCATGATCGGACTATTAGAACAGGGGTTTATGGGGGGTTTTATGGGGCAAAAATTGGTTTTTCCCCTTTTTTCCCTAAAAACTTAAAATTTAGCATTTTCTTTTGAAACCATTTTGTAGAGCTTAAAAAAACAAATAATTTAGTATATTGAAGCGTTATTGCCTAATGGTTATGGAGAAAATTCCAAAAAACTGTAAATTTAAAATTCCCAGTTATTCTTATGGAGAATAAGTAAACTGTTGTAGTTTGCTTACGTTGATGATCATAATTTGATTAAATTAGGAAAATGCATTAATTTCATACTTAACTATTAATATTTTACAAAATAAAAACACCTTTTTACCCTCCCTTTTGCAGCAAACCTAAGTACTCGTTAAACTAATGCTATTTAAATAAATAGGGAATAAATGTGATATTTTTAAGGAGACATTTTAGTGTAAATCCAATCAGGCAAATGGAAATTCGCTTAGTTTGCAGGTTTGCTGCGGTGAGGGTATTTGTCTATAGTATTGTATATATCTATGGTTTGTTTGTCTTTTTTAGAAACTGGAACATCCTACCAATGAACTTTGCTTAGTGCGGAAAGATCCAAAAATTAGTTTGACTGCTCGTCAAGAAGCTGTAACAAAGGTGAGTTTACATTTAGGTTTATAATAGCAACTATCCAACTATCCTGTCCTGTAAAGAAAAAAAGAAAAATACTATACTATGAATTAATTATAAATCACTTGATTAATTTCAATTCACTTTTTAAATTCACACCCTTTTATGGTATATAATTTAATAAGACATAAGACATAAGATAAGACTCAAGATATTTATTGCCGTTGATCATTTTTACATGAGATGGGCATGGTCAACATAAATATATACAGTCAATAACATCAAATAATATCAATAATATCGGTAATAATCATCAATAATATCTAAGTATATTTAAATTAAAACTAAAGTTGCAACTCCAGCCTAGTACCCAAACAACAGCTTCATAAACATTAAATTAATAAAATTAGTAAACTTCATCCAAACAAACAAAAGTTAATGCTTATCATTAATTTGAAAACTTAAAATACAGGGTGTAAATTAAGTCTGGCACACATTTTTTATCTTTTTTTCTATAGTAGATAGAAGAAATCAATTTGCGGGAATGATTAATAACAAATGTTAGGCACTTTTTACAAATTTTGAAAATAATAATTCCCTTAAGGGCAAGGGGGGGTGGGGGGTAACTAAAAATTTTCAAATGACAACCCCCATCTTGTGACCCCTCATTTTAAAGGTCATTGGAAGACAAATCCAAAGATGTGTCTAAAAAATTTTTTTTTGCACCCTATCCAAGATGGCGGTTTAAAATGTACTTAGGGTTGAATGGGTAAATTAGGTATGGCACACATTTCTTATCTTTTTTACTCCTTGTAGATAGAAGGAATTAATTTGCGGGACTGAGTAAGAACAAATGTTTGGCACTTTTTCATAATTTTGAAAAAAAATCCCCTTAAGGGTAAGGTGGGGGTGGGGGGTAACTAAAAATTTTCAAATGAAAACCCCCATCTTGTGACCACTCATTTTCAAGGTATTTGGAAGACAAATTTAACGATGTGTCTGAAAAAAATTTTTTTTCATCCTGTCCAAGATGGCGGCTTTAAATGTGCTTGGGGTTAAACGGGTGGGGTCTGGAACACAATTTTATCTTTTTTGCCATTAATAGATAGAACTTATCCATTCGTGGGACTGAGCCAAAATCAGGCACCTTTTTATTTATTTGAAAAAATCCCCTAATGGTAAGGGGGGGGGGGGCAACTAAAAATTTTCAAAAGACAACCCCCATCTTGTGACCCCTCATTTTAAAGGTATTTGGAAGACAAATTTAACGATGTGTCTGAAAATGTTTTTTTTGCATCCTGTCTAATATGGTGGCTTAAAATGCATTTAGCGTTGAACGGGTGAATTAAGTCTGGAACACCTTTTTTCCTTTATACTCTAATGTTTGATAGTGTAAAAATTGATTACCAATACAATAAAATAGAATACCAAATAATTACAATAATACTACAACCCTACAACAACAAAAACACAATAGCAATCAAAATTAATAGAATTCCTAAACTAAATAATAAATGTAATTGCAATAATCAACTTTACGTACTTGTTAATATTCACAAATGCTCAAACTGATGCCCAAGAGAAACTTGACAGAGCCCCAACCGATTGTAAAATTCGTTTACCACCCTGGACAGCGTTTCTTCATTAATAGATCGTGCTTCCATTATTATTCTTGCTGTGAGATCCTGGATGTTTTCTGGGCGGTTAACAAATACTCTACTTTTTAGGTGGCCCCACAAAAAGTAGTCTAACGGCGTCAAGTCGGGTGATCTGGCAGGCCATTCAATAGCTCCCCGCCTCCCTATCCAACGATCTGGAAAAACTTCGTCCAAGTAATTTCGGACTTCAGCATTATAGTGAGGTGGTGCGCCATCTTGCTGAAACCAAATGTTCTCTTTGACAACATTTTCTTCGTCTTCCGGAGGAAACTCATGGGCAATGGCAGGTACTATCGACTCTCGCAGTAACTCCAGATAACGGTTTCCGTTTAGATTTCCTTCGATCACGAATGGCCCTATTAATTTGGTCCCGACAATGCCTGCCCAAACATTGACTTTTTGGGGATTTTGAGTATGGCATTCTTGAGCCCAATGAGGATTTTCAGGAGACCAATACCTATAGTTTTGTCTGTTCACGTGACCATGAAGACTAAATGAAGCCTCATCTGAAAATACAATTCTATTTTTGAACATTGGATCCAAAGTACACCGTTGCATCATGAGTTCACAGAATTCAATCCTGCGGTCAAAATCGTCCTCGTTCAATTCATGTATTAACTGAACCTTAAAAGGATGAAACTTCTCGGCTTTAAGGGCTTTGTGGACCGACATGTGACTTATCCCAAAGTCATTTCCAATCCTACATGTCGATGTGTGATGATTTTCTTCAACGCTAAGAAGTATATTCAGTCTAGTTTCTTCAGTGAGTACAGATTTTGGCCTACCACTTCTTGGTTTACTTGCAACATCCCCCGTTTCAGCAAACTTATTACATATCTTAGATACTGTAGCTTGATTAATTTGGCGATCAGGGTACAAGTCGTTAAAAATATCACACGCTTCAAGTTGAGTCCGTTTTTTATCTCCATAGCCAACAATGACAAGTATTTCTATCTTCTGTTTTGTTGTTAACAACGCCATGTAAAAATAATAAAAGATGTACTTACGACTACTCCAAAGAAACTACCTAAACAGACTGAAGGGGAATAAGGAAAAACTGATAAGATTGTTACCTGATTAGCCTGTAGTCTTATGAAAGAGGATAGGAATTCCAAGTGAGTGCAACGTCCAAACCTGGAATCTCAATTATCAGATTTATTTACTAAGTGATAAGAGCTACATAAGTTTGTTTATTGCAGTTCGTCCTATTGTCCAAGTTTTTCTGATATAAACTATCAAATCTATTATAACTTTATTTTTGGTAAAAAAAAAAATAAAAATGTGTTTCAGACGTAATTTACTTGTTCAACCCTAAGCACATTTTAAGCCGCCATATTGGACAGGGTGCTTAAAAAACATTTTTAGACACATTGTTAAATTGGTCTCTCAAATACCTTTAAAATGAGAGGTCACAAGATGGGGGTTGTCATTTGAAAATTTTTAGTTGCCCCCCCCCCCTTACCATTAGGGGATTTTTTCAAATAAATAAAAAGGTGCCTAATTTTGGCTCAGTCCCACGAGTGGATAAGTTCTATCTATTAATGGCAAAAAAGATAAAATTGTGTTCCAAACCCCACCCGTTTAACCCCAAGCACATTTAAAGCCGCCATCTTGGACAGGATGCAAAAAAAATTTTTTCAGACACATCGTTAAATTTGTCTTCCAAATACCTTGAAAATGAGTGGTCACAAGATGGGGGTTGTCATTTGAAAATTTTTAGTTACCCCCCACCCCCACCTTACCCTTAAGGGGATTTTTTTTTCAAAATTATGAAAAAGTGTCAAACATTTGTTCTTACTCAGTCCCGCAAATTAATTCCTTCTATCTACAAAGAGTAAAAAAGATAAGAAATGACCTAATTACTCCTAATTTACCCATTGAACCCTAAGTACATTTTAAACCGCCATCTTGGATAGGGTGCAAAAAAAAATTTTTTAGACACATCTTTGGATTTGTCTTCCAATGACCTTTAAAATGAGGGGTCACAAGATGGGGGTTGTCATTTGAAAATTTTTAGTTACCCCCCACCCCCCCTTGCCCTTAGGGGAATTTTTATTTTCAAAATTTGTAAAAAGTGCCTAACATTTGTTATTAATCATTCCCGCAAATTGATTTCTTCTATCTACTATAGAAAAAAAGATAAAAAATGTGTGCCAGACTTAATTTACACCCTGTATATTATCAATGTTGGTAGCCATAAACTCAATAATAGTAAAGAATGGATTGTCTAGAAGCCATTGATACAACTAATATTCCAAAAAGGTGTGTTACCACAAAACGTTGCCCCCTGGTGGGTTTTAAATTAAATTAATTTAATTTATGTTGAACCTGTGAAGACATCAATCACACAGAGCCTGAGTACAGTGGAAGATTTGATGGTAGATGTGTAGTGTAGGCCAGTGTAATTAAATTACCCCAAAGATCCGTATATGGACCGTGAGAGATCTGTCAACTGTCCTCCCCCAATCACCTTGTTGATCTTATTACTAACACTTCTTATAAGCTAATCTTCTTTAAGTTTACCAATGATATGACACTCAAAATTTGAGAAAGAAAAATACACTGTTTGCTGAATGTTGATAGTATATTCTTGAACATTGACAGATTTTAATTAGATATTTGTATAACCTTTGTTGATGTTTAGATAGGTAAAAAATGCAAAGCCAAATCAAATTGAATATGTAATAATATGATCGGTTAAGCCGTTACTCTTTAAAGTGTGCCATTCTTGAAAAAATGATATATTAGGATGAAACTGCAGGAGAATAAAAGATGGTATTTGGAAAATAACCCCGCAGCAGCAAACCTGCAGACTAAGCGAATTTTTGGCTGGAAATCCACTCGATTATTTTTGTTAAATTGTCAAATTAATTTCCTATTTAAATATTATTAATTTTAATGAGTACTTAATTTTGCTGCTACAGGGAAGAAAATAGGGGGTTTTTAATTGAAATATTGATAGCTTAGTATGAAGCAAAAAAAATTTCATTAAAATATGTCCATAGACTAGCAAGCTACAACAGTTTATTTATTCTCCATAGAAAATAACATAGTAGGCTAATTTTAAATAAACACTTTTACTAAATTATTTGTTTTTTTGAGCTCTACAAAATGGTTTGGAAAAAAATTGTAAAATCTTATTTTTACCGGGTGAAAAATGGCAATTTTACCTCATACAACCCCCCATAAACCCCTGTTCCCATAGTCAAATCATCCTGGAACTCGTTCGATTTAGGTTGGTCTACATGTTTATACCAAATTTCATTAAAACGGATAATTTTTGCTCAAGTTATCGTGCTAATGGACACATATATAAATATATATATAAATTTGAACGGATGGTGTTTTTGGTCTCTGGGGACATCAAAACAAAAAAGTAAATCGGTCCCGGGTCCAGGTCTTAGCATGAGACCTACGGTAATAGCTTATTCCCTATATGGGAAGTATTGTAACAATATTACAAATCAGACAGCAATGGATGATGCAAATAAAATTTATACATTTGTGGTCAGAGAAACTCTATATTTCCAAGGGGAGGATATGTTTGTGATATTTTATTTATCAATCCTATCTACCTCACTAATGAGCAATGTCCAGAGAAAAATAGAGAAAGAATAATGATTATTGAGATCACCAGACTCCCTAAATATACTTTTTGTACAGGCGGCCGGTTGTATGTTATTGCAACAGGGACTTGTTTGCCAGTGGACTATATTACAGTACCACTGCAATGTACAGTACAAATCGGGCTGATTGACTTCTGAGTCGGATCTTTGGTTGACTGTCTGTTTAAATTTAAAGTTTGATTCTAATGGGAGTCTATACTTGTGATCTTTAAAGTTCCCTCCTAACCTTCGACCATGAACAATGTAACGTTTGTCTCTGAATCTCTCCTCTAAAATCACAATCAACGACTCACACTGGATCTGTTCTTATTTGATTGACCAACAAAACAATAAAAGATATTTAATGTAGCCTAATACAATAAATTTAAGCTGTGACATATACAAAAAAAATTGACCTTTAACATAGAATCGAAATTGATCTTTTAACACAGCTATAGATTGATTTCAATTTAATTGGATTTGTAAATTCAATTTACTAGATATTTTAAACTTCTCAGAATACATACAACAAACTTAACAATTTCTACAATATCATGAACTTAATAAATAATGTACAGATATTGTTGTTTTGAGAACATGTGGTATTAAACCTTACGGACCAACTAGAACTGGATATGCGAAATAGACATGTACAAGAAATGTGAAGTAATGGGAGATTGGCAAAACTAAATTACATCTTAAACGCAGACAATATGAAACATTTACTTACGTTTACAGGTCCACCACACAAAACATTCACACCATGGACGATTTTAATATTTACTCTACTTGGAGGATTTGTCAAAACCAGTTGATTTTCCGACAACGGTTCGTTACGATATTAGGTTGATCAAAATTTCCCAATTTTTCGGAGCCTTTATTTGTTTTAAAATTTGACAATTGCTGTCTGATGGGTGCACGTGCAATTTATCCCGATAGGGGTTTACCGAGCTGCGAATGAGTTTTTTTATGAAAACCAGAACTTCGTCGACACAACTCAACGTCCGACCTCCAAGTGGTAATTGCACGCTTCTCTTTTTTGCATTCAAACGTTTATCTATGTATCCCTCCGAGTTCATCGTAATTGGACATTGATGTCCGCAGTTTTTGGCGCGGATTTCGAGTGTTTCAATTCAAAATCGGCACAATCCGCAGTAATCCGCACATCCTGATAATTAGACCAATTCGTAAATTACAAGGCAAAAATGTGATTCAGATTCCACTATAAACTGTAGGTCTCTCAGCTGCCATTGGCGCTGTATGGGCTATTAATTAACAGCTGTGTCTATGGAATATGTCGGCCTTATTCACTAACAAGACTACAAGATCGCGCCACTTATTTTACACTCATCTCCCATTCATACTTGGCTTAAAATACCTACCTTCTTATGGTCGCCATTTCAATTAAAAGTATTAAGGTATTCAGGGCAATACCTCTCTTGCACCTGCAATTACATTTGAATGTCTTGGGATTCATTTATATACTTCAAAACACTGAACAAAGTAATACTTAAACATTCTGATCAGGTCACTAGTAAATTCCTCCTGAAGCAGCAAACCTGCAGACTAAGCAAATTTCAATTTGATTAGATTTTTGCTCAAATATTTCCATAAACAAATCATAGTTATTCCCCATTCAAATAACGTATGTACCAGATTTGAAAATTAAGCATTTCCATGTTTTAAGGGTAAAAAGTTTCCAAAGGCAATTTTTGAAAATCAACCCTTACAATATCCTATGATCCGAATTTGATGATTCGCGAACTCATTAAAGTTTATCTCACATTACTCTTTCAAGCCAAATATTTCACAAAAACAGGACCAGTATTACTCGAGTTATTGTGTTCACAAAATTATATATGTATAAATATGTTAACCAAGTATTTTCAACCTCTGGGGACATCAAAATGAAAAAAGTAAATCGGTCCCTGATCTAGGTCCTACGGTTCTACCTACGGTAATAGATACTTCCCTATAGGGAAATTTGCTAAAAGTCTCCAAAACATTTTCATGGTACTTACGAGCAGTCATTGATTGTTGGACTTTATTGAACTTAATGTAACCTCATATATATTATATCTCAGTGATTCAGAAAAAACAACATAAACATGAATATTTTTCAGAAGCTGTTCCTTCAATGTACATAAAATATAATATGTATTTAAATACAAGATACAACTTTTGCTGTTTTGTCTCTATCTTTATCACCTCACAGAAAGGTAATTGGAATTCTAAATTGAGGTATGCGAGTCCTAAAAAGACAAAATCCTATCTACACCATCCAGTCATCTAGCCAATGTAACGTTACAGGTTAGAGCACCTGAGGTAGGAAAGGACGTGCAGTATGTGTCTGTGAATGGTTCTCTGGGGCCGGTGAAGAGGAAGGGGAAGGAGAGTGATGTTCCGATGGAACAACGGCTCGAGAACCTCGCACTGAACCAACCAGCTGCTTCACCCTCCTCCCAACAGACAAAGGGCGAGAGCATGGCACATCTGCTGTTACAGGTCAGTGGCTTTATGTCAAGAAAAATAAATTAGCCGGTCACTTTTATATCCAGAAAATATATTGTATCTATAAGCATGCCTAATGTTGTTTACAATATTTTGCTATAGTACCTATGTCAAAAAATTTAACTTTGATCAATTTGTTAAAAGTGATCCTGTTTGTTCGATGTTTCAGGGTCTTCAAAGCAAGGATAAAAATATCCTACAGACTGTACTGTTTGGGAGGGACGAAGCAGTTATTGCCCAGACTGTACAAAGATTGCCTGTACAAGTTATCAGCCCTCTAGTCAAAGAACTGACTGTACTTCTACAAGGGAAAACTTTCACGTTAGTATGCAATTATTTAGTCTTCTTTTAGCAAATTTCCCTATAGGGAAGTAGCTATTACCGTAGGTCTCATGGTAAGACTTAGGCCCGGGACCGATTTACTTTTTCATTTTGATGTCCCCAGAGGCGAAAAACACCATTCGTTCAAATTTTTATATATATATGTGTCCATGAACACAATAACTTGAGTAATTTTTATCCGATTTTGATGAAATTTGGTTTGAAGGTGTAAGGTGGGATAAACTTGAATGAGTTCGCGATCCAGCATGATCGGACCATGGGAGCAGGGTTTTATGGGGCAAAAATTGGTTTTTCTCACTTTTGACCCTCAAAACACAAAATTTCCCAAATTATCTCTAAACCTTCTTAAAGAGCTTAAAAAAACAAACAATTCAGTATATCAAAGTGTTTTTGTAGGGTTATTGGTTACGGAGAAAACTAAAAAAATGGTAAATTTAAAATTCCCATGTTATTCTTATGGAGAATATTGTAAAATGTTGTAGTTTGCTTGTTTATGGATATCTTTTGATCAAACTTGGCAAATATATTCATTTGTACTAAACAATAATTATTTTACTTAAAATACACACGTTATTAGTTTCCTTGTAGCAGCAAACCTAGGTACTCGTTAGACCTAATGTTATTTAAATAGATCAATTGAAAATCAATTCAGCCAAATGGAAATTCGCTTAGACGGCAGGTTTGCTGCAGCGGGGGTATTATTATTTATTGTTGTAAACAATTGTATGTTAATGAACAGAAGAATTTAGAGAAACTTAAACAGCAAGTAAATAGTTAGATTTCTTTGACATATCGATAACTTAAATTACAAGTTGATCTAGTATCAACTATATTTTAACCTTACATTACATTGCATATTAATTATTTTAAAGTAAAATTTTTTCTATTTCGTTAGCACGATACCTCGAGCAAAAATGATTTGATTTTGACGAAATTTGGTATAAACGTGTGAACCTACATTTATACGAACGAGTTCGCGAACCAGCATGATCGTACTATGGCGAGGGTTTATAGGGAGTTTTATGGGGGTAAAAATTGATTTTTCCCATTTTTGACCCTAAAAACACAAAATTTCATAATTTCCCTCCAAACCATTTTAGGGGGCTTAAAAAAAATAATTTTGTATATTGAAACATTGTTGTATGCCCAACGGTTACGGAGATAATTAAAAAAATTGTAAATTGAAAATTCCCATGTTATTCTTATAGAAAATAAATCAACTGTTGTAGTTTGCTTGTTTATGAACATATTTTGACCAAATTTGGAAAATGCATTGAATAAATAATGGTTATGCTTTTTTTTTGTTGTTTTTTTGTTGTTGTTATGGTTGTGAACTTTTATCTTACTACACTATTAAAATTTGAAAAAAAGACTTTTTTATCCTCCCTGTGGCAGCAAACCTAAGTACTCGTTAAAGTAATTATATTTAAATTTTTTAAATGTGATATTTTTAAGGAGACATAGTGTAAATCCAATCAGGCAAATAGAAATTCGCTTAGTCTGCAGGTTTGCTGCAGCAGAGGTATTTTGTATGTAAATAGTGGTTGTCGTCTTTTAGGTTGTTGTAGTTTACTTGTTTATGAATGTATTTTAACCAAATTTGGTTTATTTCATACTAAGCTATCAACACTGCAATAAAAAAAACTCACCTCAATATCTTCCCTGTAGCAGCAAACCTAAGTACTTACTAAAATTAATGTTATTTAAATGGGAAATAAATCTGACAATTGTTAGGGAATACTTTAGTAGGAATCCAGTCAAGTAAATGGAAATTCGCTTAGTCTGCAGGTTTGCTTCGGCGGGGGTATTTTATTTACTTTTTTATCACTTGATTATAATGATCTATGATGATATATATTATAATGAGCGCCGAAAACAGTAATAAAACATGAAATAACATGTTACAGAATGATAGTTTTAATTGCCTTTAATTAATTAATATTTTATGTTTAAAATTAATTTTGAATGCATTTAAGTATAACATCAATTACTTAGGCTAATTCAAGTTAAACATTATTGGTATAGGCCTAATTGATTTAACGTTATTAACTAGTAAAATACATTTTCAACCTTGACCAAACAAACCATAAAATTACAATATAAATGCCCATAATATATAACGGCACAATATTACCCAACTTTTATTTATTTTACTAATTAAAGCGTTTATTTGCCATATTAAATTATAACTATCGCGACACACTTTTCTCGCACTGGACAAAAAAAATATCAAAAGTGCAGTCGCAAACGTTTGCCGTGGATAGTTCAGTCTACAATGGCTGGGTAAAGTTCCAGCGTCTGCGATAAGGTCAGGGAAACCACTATGCCAAAAGCCGGGTCTAACCGGTATAGGACTGGCTCATACACGGGCACTGTGAACTAGTCAAAAACAAGTCACCAAAACAAACGTGCAATAATCACCACCAGGCCTAAACCGATTCTCCACTCTCCTAGGGGGTCGTTGCTGACTACGCAACTCGGGCTTCGTCCTTACTATCCAATAGTTAAGCCCAGAGTGCCTAAAACAAAGTGAGTTACACGACGACTTGCCAATAAAAACCACAACGCGAGTTATCACCAGGCGGGGTCTACTCGGCCACTACAATCCAATACACAACTCTAATGCCCAAGCTTACAATCAGACAGTTCACTCAGTAATAATACAAGTATACTATAGGCAGAGTGACTAAACCTCTAGTAGCTGGTCTCAATAAATACCAAGCCAAACAAGCAAAACTAAATGTCAATTGCACTAGGCTACTATTAAATTATTGAGCTACTTAGTAGCAGAGAAATAAATATTAAATTCGTTCCAAACACTAGATAAATATATTATCTGATAGCCAATACTCCGCTATCCAAGCTACCAAGATAACGTGTTGGATTACTAAACAAGCGGTTCAGGTTAAATTAAAATAATTAAATGATTAATCAATAACAACCCTACTGCTACTACTACTACTACTGCTACTATATCACCGTTATATTACTTAGCTGGGCTTCTGTTAATAGGCTAATAAAATTAGCTACTAGCCTACCGGCCGCCTGCTTCCAACTACGCACGCCAATTTGTGCAACCTAGGTTTGTTGGGCCTCACAGTTATTAGTAAAATAACTAACTCTTGTAAAACGCAAAATAATATCTGATAAAGCCAATAAAATATATTATTTGTGATTTAAAGCTTGCCTAGAACTGTCAGGAATATACTGTAGTATTATTCCTGACACCTGTGAATTCCAACTACAGTCAGGCTTTGACCAGGACGGTTAAAATAAAATCAACCAATTAAATCAGAGATGAATGTTTTAGTATTAACTATCAACTCTTAAATCAAAATGCAAGGAACGTCGTCCACTCACCGCTAGCGGGTCTCAACACCCAACTTAACACCAAAACTGTTCACTGGTATCACCACACTCCGATGTCACTCAAATCACTGGTCGTCTCACTAGACACACGCTAACTGTTTGGGATCCACGACTCCATGTCTGTCCTAGGCTATCCGGTAGTTCAAGGATACCCAAGCTTATCTGAACTGATAAGCCAGGTCAAAGGGCTGTAGCTAGCTTCACCGCCACCGCTTGCCTACCTCAACAATCGGTGCACGGCCAAATAGCGAAAATTTACCCCCCTAGGAAAAATAACTCATTACACTATCAACGCTAGCACAGGCGGCCGCTCGATGCGGCGCTCGCGACAACGTACGGGTCAAAAATACACTGTGACACACTATCGTACATCACTCCGTAAATTGGACCGATCTATTCTTTGATCCTTCGCTATAAAACCGCCTCCAGAGCGCTCGTCTCGCTGCTCAGCCTGATTTCTAGTTCACCGTCTGGATATGTGTACGGACCCCTGATACACTATCGAACACGCTCCCTTCGACCTCCCTTTTCCCTTCTCCCTGCTTGGTTCGGGAAAAAGATTGATAGTGTGTCACCGTCTTTAACCTTTTATTGTGCGTGTCTTTAACAAATTTTGTGCTTATAAGACTATATTAAAATCAACAATATAATAATTATCTAATACAAACAACAATAACAATGACAAACCTAGCCGAACAAAACAAAAACTGACAAAATAACAACAGGTATACTAATAAATAAATAATTTAAAACAACAACAATCAGGGTGTCTAGTAGTCGGGAAAATCGGGAAAGTCGGGAATTAGTATTGAATTTCAAAATGGTCTTGAAAGTCGGGATTTAGTCTTAAATTTGATTTCAAAGTCGGGAATTTTCATGATTTTGCCGCGATCGTCGTCTTGCGTTTACGTAACCGCAAAAGCCAATGATGATGTCTACACGGCCTCGGGAAATGTTCACGATTTTGCCGAGATAGTGGACGACGACGATGACGTTTCCGAAACCACGAAAGACGACTGTGACAGCGGGAGACTACGATGACGTATCCGTAACCGCGGTAGACGACGATGACGTTTCCGTGACCGCGGGAGACGACGATGATATCTGCTCGGCCGCGGGAAATGTTCATGATTTTGTCACGATCGCGGACGACGACGATGACGTTTCCGTGACCGCGGGAGATGACGATGACGTGTCCGTGACCGCGGGAGATGACGATGACGTTTCCGTGACCGCGGGAGATGACGATGATGTCTACACGGCCGCGGGAAATGTTCATGATTTTGCCGTGATCGCGGACGATGACGATAACATTTCCGTGACCGCGGGAGATGACGGTGATGTCTGAACAGCCGCGGGAAATGTTCATGATTTTGCCGCGATCGCGGGTGAGGCCGCGGGAAATGTTCATGATTTTGTCACGATCGCGGACGACGACGATGACGTTTCCGTGACCGCAGGAGATAACGATGACGTTTCCGTGACCGCGGGAGACGACGATGATGTCTACACGGCCGCGGGAAATGTTCATGATTTTGCCGCGATCGCGGACGACGACGATCACGTTTCCGTGACCGCGGTAGATGACGATTATGTTTCCGTGACTGCGGGAGACGACGATGATATCTGCTCGGCCGCGGGAAATGTTCATGATTTTATCGCGATCGCGGGAGATGACGATGACGTTTCCGTGACCGCGGGAGATAAGGATGACGTTTCCGTGACCGCGGGAGACGACGATGACGATTCCGTGACCGCGGGAAATGTTCATGAGTTTGTCGCGATCGCGGACGACGACGATGACGTTTCCGTGACCGCAGGAGATGACGATGACGTTTCCGTGACCGCGGGAGATGACGATGACGTTTCCGTGACCGCGGGAGATGACGATGACGTTTCCGTGACCGCGGGAGATGACGATGACGTTTCCGTGACCGCGGGAGACGACGATGATGTTACACGGCCGCGGGAAATGTTCATGATTTTGCCGCGATTACGGACGATGACGTTTCTGAGACAGCGGGAGACGACGATGATGTCATTGATGTCTACAAGGCCGCGGGAAATGTTCATGATTTTGACGTGATCGCGGACGACGACGATCACGTTTATGTAACCGCTGCAGTCAATGATGATGTCTAAACGTACGGTACGTGGAAGATTTCATGAAAAAAAAATTTGCTAGTTAGAATTTTTTATTGCTGCATTATTTCTTTACTTGAAAACACCACATTATCATAATACTACTTTATGACAAAGACAGGGGTTGGTGTAGAATTATTCAGAAAATTTTGATAAGCTATAACAATTGGTATCGGTATCAAGAATCGAGAATCGATACATTTTGGTATCAACACGCACTAATTGTTGAAAAAACTAGTCTTGAAAAATCTGGAATTAGTCTTGAAAAGTCTGGAATTAGTCTTGAATTTTATAATGGAAATAAACTAGACACCCTGAACAATAAATAAATAATATGAAAACAATGACAACAAACCCACAAGCTAACAACCAATAACAACTGAGAAAGATAAATATGACTAATATATATAAAATCTAGTTGACTAGAGAGCAACGACAAACCTATAGTTAAATGCAAAGACAATACAGTGATTTTTTATTTATTTTTTTTTTTTTACTGTTTTAATCCCATGATGTTTTGATCCCATCTGTTTAGTCTATTATGAAAATACTGCTGTCATATCTAATTGTCTCAATGGAAACAACTTGCAGGAACCAAGTGGCGGCGACGTGGCTCAAGGCTGTGTTAGCGGCGCACGCAGGTCAGCTCTTGGCGGACCCTGAGGCAGTGGCCACGGTGGCACCACTTCTGGGCATGGTAGAGACGAGGCGGGGTGTAGTGGCGCCTCTGAGTAGGCTGCGGGGTCGTCTGGACTTGCTGCTACATCAGGTGTCAGTGGCTGACAGGCACACGACCGCAGCAGAAACACTGCCACTGGTTGTACTACATGACCAAGGTAGCTTTGACCATGAAGTATCTCATATCCATGATTGTAGCCAGTTTTTGATTAAATTAATCACTAACATTGTGTTTGGGGTTGATGTAATTTACTGATTTCTATCTAATACATAAACTTTTGTGTCCCAAGCCTAACTGAAAAGACAACGTCTCTAGACAATCTTTTATTACACATAACTTTTCACAATAATTATCAAAGTATTTAAACACGTTTAGAGGCACAGTTTTGACTACTTTTACTTAGCAAGCAAGCCCAGAAGTGAACTGAACAAATTTTAATTTTGGTTAGTCCAGAAAAACCCCTGAACAACCTAAATAAAGGGGCGAGTTTGTTTGGGGAAAACATTTTTTTTAGCCTGAATGGTTATAAGTAAAGGCTATTTTGCTTCAATATGTTGCAGTCATTTTACATTATTTTAGTTACTGTCATCTTAACCTGTTGAGTGCCGCTGGTAAGATAAAGCGATTTTATTTTTTGAGGTTTGCCAGGCTTACTTTGGTTTACCTGCTAGGAATGCCAGCAATTTCCCCACAGAATTAAGTGTTGAGTAAAAATTCATAAAATATTGATTTAGATTTATTTACATTTGATGTTGTTTTGTAGATTATTACTTTTTCCAAGGTAAAATAGTGATTTGAATAGGCTTTTTATGTGGTAAACTTATATGTGTTAAAAGGGGTGTTGCTTTAATGTAAGAGAGTTTGCTTAAAACCCTGTGTATTTATTTTCAGACTCAACTGAAGAAGGCAGTGACACGTTTGGAAGTGAAGAAGATGAGAACGATTCAGAAGAACGTTGGGACGAGCTGTCCGATGACGAACCTGAAGTTGTAGAGAGCGAAGATGTTGAAATGTCTAGTTAAACTTTATTGTTAAGTTGTGTACAGAAATGTAATTACAATATTTTTTAATCATCAATAGGGTTTATTATTGAGTACAATAAAAACATTTTATTTCTATCTAGTATCTGTTGTTCTTTTTTTGCAGTCAAACTAAATAGTAAATAGATCAATAACTTCTATTGTGGATAGTGAAGAAACCTCTCTGATTACATCTAAATTAGTATTTTGAAAATTAAATTTATATTGTGGGCACTGAAGAAAACTCTTTAAGCTAACGTAGTTGATGATTTATAATAAGCCTCTATTGAGCGGAGTGAAGCGAAGCTCTTATACTGGTCCTGCTTTTGTTTAACAAATACTCCTCCTGAACGGCTGAAACGATCTACACAAATTTTAGCACAACCATAGTAACCAACCTTGGGAAGGTAAATCTTAAATGGTACAAATCGGACCCCCTTTGTAAATTTAAATATAGGGAAATTTAACATGGGCCTTATGGGTTTAATTGGTTGCCATGGCATTATTTGCGAGATAACAATAAAAAGGTAAACACGAGTGGCAACATATGTTTAGTCAACGAATCATCTAAAATAGCACATTACAAATACCGCACAGAGAAAATGCAAGAGAAAAAGCAACTGAACGGTTATACAATAAGGGCACTAATTGGGACCTTTTTCGTCAAGAAGTAAACAAAAATTTTAACTTAAAAATTCAATTACAAAGCAATCAAAATTTAGAAGACGCCATTGGCTTATTTATAACTTGTATTCAAAATTCTGTGAGAACATCAACTCCTGTCCTTCCTTATTTGTCGAAACCTGGATTAAGTTACCCTATTTTTGTTAAAAAGAAGATTGCGGAAAAAAGAAGGTTGAGAAGAATCTGGCAAAATAGCAGGAATCCAGTTGATAAAACAAGTTTTAATAGGGCATCTCGAAATTTGAAGCGACTGTTATATGATGTTAAAAATCGCTGGTTTGAGAATTACACCTAATCTCTATCACCTTCCGAAGCTACGGATTATTCCCTCTAGAAAGCTACGAAGCGAATGAAGCGCTCAAAGATTCGAATTTCACCTATTTTAAAATCTGATGGGAGCTGGGCAAAATATAACACAGAGAAGTCTGAAGCCTTTGCTCAATACTTTGAGAATGTGTTCAAACCAAATGCGGCAGTAAACAACGAGGAAGAGATACTTGAATATTTGGATGCTCCGCTACAGCTTGACTTCCCATTGCAGAAGTTCAAACCATCAGAACTAAAATCAATCATCACCAACAATCTTCATTCTGACAAGGCTCCTGGTTACGACCTCATAACTGGTAAAATACTTAAAGAGCTTCCACGAAAAGGAATAATGTTTTTGACTATTTTATTTAATACAATGTTAAAACTTGAATATGTACCAGATCATTTCAAAAGAGCACAATTGATAGTCATTCCGAAACCTGGGAAGCCTCTTGACCAGGTAAGTTCTTACCGACCCATAAGTCTTTTACCAATTATGTCCAAGTTATTTGAAAAACTTCTTCTGAAAAGGATACAAGAACTTATTGGCGAAGATGTGATTCCTGCACATCAGTTTGGTTTCAGACGGAAACACAGTACCATAGAACAGGTTCACCGAGTTGTTGCCGTAATACGTCAATGTATGGAAGATAAAAAGTTTTGCTCAGCTGCCTTCTTGGATGTTAGCCAGGCATTCGATAAGGTGTGGCATGTTGGCTTGTTATATAAAGTGAAAATGTTTTTACCCCATTCAATTTATAGCATTTTAAAATCCTACCTTCAAAACAGGACTTTCCAAATTAAATATCAAGATGTCCTCACTAACCTACGTCCAATTGAATCTGGGATTCCTCAAGGAAGTGTCCTCGAGCCGTTTTTGTATATTCTCTACACAGCAGACCTTCCAGAAAATGAGTTGGTAGAAATTGCTACATTTGCGGATGATACTGCGGTTTTGTCTGTTCATCGTGATCCATTTCAAGCTTCTCTAAATTTACAGCAAAATCTGAACATAATTACTGATTGGTTTAAGACATGGAGGTTCAAAATTAATGAAACTAAATCTGTTCACATTTCTTTTACTCTAAATCAAAATTCTTGTCCTCCTGTCACAATAAACAACACCCAACTTCCCGAAGTAACTGAGGTTAAATACTTAGGTATCCATTTAGATAGGAAGTTAACTTGGAAAACACACATTTGGAGAAAACGGCAACAACTAAATTTAAAATCTAATCAGTTAAATTGGCTCATCGGAAGAAAATCAAAACTAAGTCTTGAAAATAAATTATTGCTATATAAAACTATATTGAAACCAATCTGGACATATGGAGTGAAACTATGGGGCTCGGCGAGTACTTCTAATATAGAAATTCTCCAAAGATACCAATCGACAATGCTGAGGAAGATAACAAATGCACCATGGTATGTCAGCAATAGCACACTACATCAAGACCTTAAGATGCCTACAGTTAAGGACGAAATCATGACCATAAGTGAACGATATATTACGAAATTGGAATCTCATCAAAATCATTTAGCTCTTAACTTATTAAACAACATGGATACAATTTACAGACTTAAAAGGCCATCAATTCTGGACCTGCCCTTCAGATTTTTGTAAAGTGTTTTTATTGAAAAATTTGTTGTTGAGAGTGCTTAACAGCTATTTTTAATGTTCCAAAGTCAATTTTTCGTATTACATAGCATTTACTTATTGTTCAATATATAATAGAACAGATTGTAAAGTAAACAAATAAATAAAAAAAAGAAGATATTTCATTGATTTTAGAAACAAAAGAACACTGTGTACTGCTTAGTTGATATTTTCCTTGGTTTAATTTAATCAGTGGTGAGGCAAAACACAAATAATAAATGTATCAAATAAAGTAAATGTGAACTGAAAGCTATGTTAAGATAAAATACCCCCGCCGCAGCAAACCTGCCGACTAAGCAAATTTCCATTTGTCTGAATTGATTTTCAGTTAAATATATTTTAATAACATTAGGTTTAACGAGTACCTAGGTTTGCTGCTACAAGGAAACTAATAAAGTGTGTTTTTGAGTAAAATATTGATAGCTTAGTACAAAATAAATAAATTTGCCAAGTTTGATCAAAATATATCCATAAACAAGCAAACTACAACATTTGACAACATTCTCCATAAGAATAACATGGGAATTTTAAATTTACAATTTTTTAAATTTTCTCCGTTACTAATAATTGAACAAAAATACTTTTATATACTAAATTATTTGTTTTTTTATGCTCTTTAAAAAGGTCTAAAGAGAAATCGGGAAATTTTGTGTTTTGAGGGTCAAAAGTGAGAAAAATCAATTTTTACCCCATAAAACCCCACGTAAAGCCCCGTTCCCATGGTCCGATCGTGCTGATTTGCGGACTCATTCAAGTTTATCCCGCTTTACACCTTTAAACAAAATTTCATCAAAATCGGACAAAAATTACTCAAGTTATCGCGTTCACGGACGTATATATATATATAAGTCTATATATATATATATATATATATATATATATATACACATATAAAAATTTGAACGAATGGTGTTTTTGGCCTCTGGGGACATCAAAATGAAAAAGTAAATCGGTCTCGGGTCTAGGTCTTACCGTGCCACCTACGGTAATAGCTACTTCCCTATAGGGAAATTCGCTAATAAGAGTACAGTAGAGTCCCGCAAACTAGGTACTCGATAACCCGGCAGTCTGGATAACTCGGCCATCACCTGGCTCAGAAAATTAGTGATTTTTTGAGTCCGAGTTAAACATGGACTCAAGCCAGCCACAGCCAGCTCAAGTCAAATCATTCTCAGCTCGTACAAATGATTTTTTGTACTATATCTGATGACTTGATACTAACTTGTAATATAAATATGAATAAAATAGGTACCTACTTAATAAGCTTAAAAATGGCATTGTTCTTGTTTTTAACGCTAGTTCCCGATAACCCGGCATTTCACAAACTCGGCATCCTTCCAGTCCACATTACACCCAGTTTGCGGGACTCTACTGTATTTTGTATTACCATTTGATAATTAAATATAGTTACATATACAACAGATTTTAGAGCACAAAAATCAATGATGTACAATTTAGTTATTGATGATATTCTTTAATAATAATAATAATAGGTTAAATACCTTATTTACGTCTTCAATCCAAAGTAGTCTTTTTATGATTACTATAGTTTCGGGGCTAACAGCTCCATTGTCAAATCTTCTTGTCTTGTTAAATTACTGTGAATAGCATTGGTCATAGTTGAAGATCACATGTAGACACACACTCACACACGAAACATTAATATATACAAGTAGGATATTTAAGTGCACTCCTGTAGATGATAAGGAAATGGAAAGAATTGTTGGTTCACTTAAGAATAAAATGTCTAGTGGTTATGATGATATACCAACTAAATTATTAAAATATGTAGGGAACCTTTTAGTAAAGCCACTTGTACATTTGGTGAATTCCTCTTTTGTGTCTGGCTTATTTCCGCATCAACTAAAAATTGCAAAGGTAATTCCTTTACATAAAAAAAAAACGAAGTTACTGAAATATCTAACTATAGACCTGTTTCATTGCTCCCTGCTGTATCAAAGGTATACGAGAAAGCAATGTACATTAGATTGGTAGATTATTTTGAATCAAATAAGTTATTTGATAATTCTCAACATGGTTTCAGAAATGGAAGATCAGTAATAACAGCAGCTACTGACTTCATTGAGTCCATCGTAGAATCAATTGAAAACGGCAAAAATGTTCTAGGGATATACATGGATCTCTCTAAAGCATTTGATAGTGTTTGTCATTCAATTTTGCTAGAGAAACTGGAAAGTCTTGGAATAATGGGAGTCCCCTTAAAATGGTTTCAATCTTATTTGGATGGTCGGATGCAATTTGTTGAAATAAAATCAAACAAAAACAATTATTTAACTACATTTAACTCTCATAAACGTAGAATTAAGTGGGGGGTGCCACAGGGTTCAATTTTGGGACCAATTTTGTTTTTATGTTATATAAAAGAATTGCCTAAAAGTATTGTTAATCCTCAAAAGAGTAAGATTTGTTTATATGCAGATGATTCAAATTTAA